ACACGTTCTTCTAGGAGTTTTATGGATTCAGTCTTATCCTTATGTCTTTAATCCATTTTGAGGATTTTGTATGTGTGTATGTGTATAATGTAAGATAAGGTCCCAGCTTCATTCCTTTTAATGTGGATATCCAGTTTTACTAAAAATGTTTGTAGACGAGTCTATCCTTTCCCATTGTGTGCTTTGGCACTCCAGTCTAAAATTTATGTGTGGGTTTATTTCTGGGCTCTGTATTCTGTTCCAGTGGTCTGTGTGTCTGACTTTATGCCAGAACCAAACCATTTTAATTACTTTGTATTACATTTTGCTATCATGAAGTATGTTGCCTCAAACTTTGTTCTTCTTTCCCAAGTTGGTTTTAGCTATTAAGGAGCTTTTGTGAATCCATACAAATGTTAGGATTGTTCTTTCTATTCTTGAGGGGGAAATGCCATCAAAATTTTGATAAGGATTACATTGTATCTGTGGGTCATTTTGGATAGCATAGATGTTTTAGCAATATGAATGTCTCCCAATCTATGAACATAGGCTATCTTTCCATTTATTTAAACTTTGGTTTCCTTCATCACGTTTTTGTAGTTCGCTTCATATGGATCCTGTTATGGCTTGTGTCTAGATGTGTCCCCAAAGCCTCATTCAGTAATAGGTGGGGCTTTTCAGAGGTGGCTGGATCTGGAGTGTGTGATGCTGGGATCGAGTGTGTGTGATTACTAAATCAGTCCACTGATTGGTTTAGCATAGTTCTGGATAGGATTAAGGGTGCCCCACCCTGGGTGTGAGTGCTACCCATCCCAAGTGCAGGTAGCCTGGATAAAATATAAGGGACAGAAAGAGTGTCACTGTCATTTATAGCTTGCTGCCTTCTGTCTGCCTTGAACTGTTTTTCCTCTGCAGTGGCCCTCTCCCATGCCACCCTGCCTTAGAGCCAGCCAACTATGAAATGAAACCTCTACAAACTGAGCTAAATAAACCTTTCCTCTTTTTTTTTTTTGGTACCGGAGATTGAACTCCAGTCCTTGCGTTTGCGAGGCAGGCAGCAGAACCACTGAGCTAAATCCCAGGCCCAACCTTTCCTCTTTTAACTTTGAATGTCAGATATTTTTTGTCCTGGCAGTGAGAAAAGTAACTAAGACAGATCCTGTGCTTATTTTATTAGATTTTTTAAATTTTATTAGATTTATATCTATGTATTTCTCCAATTTTTAGTGCTAACATAAGTAGTAGTGTATTTTTAAATTTCAAATTCCAGTTGTTCACTGCTGTAAAATAGGAAAATTGTTCTCTCGTAGCCATGATCCACTGCTATTATTATTATTATTATTATTATTATTGCTATTATTACCATTATTATTATTTTGGCTCTGGGAATTGAACTCCGGACCTTGCGCTTGAGAGGCAGGCAGTGGCACCACTGAGCTAAATCCCCAGCCCAATCCACTGCTATTATAATAGGGTCTTGTTGATGTGGTGTCAACATGTGGACAGTGATAAAGAAATCTGTAATCTGAACTCTGTAATTATTAAGTCTCTTTTTTTTTTTTAAAGTGAGCTTGAGTCCCTGGGCTGTGGCCTTCAGATGTATTTATTAGGCTTTTGTCCACTGTTACATGAGACAGGCAAATGACAAGGGACTCAAAATATCTAACCCCTCTTTTTTTTTTTGGTACTGGGGATCGAACTCGGGGCCTTCCACTTGTGAGGCAGGCGGCGGCAGCACTGAGCTAAACCCCCGGCCCCAACCACTCTTTTTCTGTCAGGTAAAGCTCTGCTAAAATAGTTTCTCTTAAGGACAGGTGTTTGATACTGAGGAATGAATGTTGTAGGTATATTTGAAAATGGTTCTTTTCCCTCTCCTTCCACCTGAATCATAAGTTTTTGTTTTGTTTTTCCTGTGATGTGAGAACTTGGTATGGTTTATGGAAAGAAAACTCAAAAAAGTGTAGGAGATTCCTTGAGACTGGACCCTGGGGAGTTTTAGCCAGTCTGGTTCAGCCTCCAGTGATTTATCAATTACTTTTCAAATGTTTGTGCCAGTTCTGGCTCCAGCAACTTCTGATCCAGATAAGCTGTGATTCTTTGCATTTGCCTTTCTGTAAATATTTTCAGGGTGACAGTTTGCCCTTTGGCCTCAGTTCTCTGATGGATCTAAGAAAAGCTGCTGGCTTGCAATTTATCCAGGCTTCTTGTTGTGAGGATGGGTGTGATGGTTTCCAGGCTCTTTGTGTATCAGAGTTGAAACCAAAAGTCTCCTATCCTGGACTTCTAACAACACTGATTAAACACTGCTTGAATAACTGGTTTCTTTCACTCAAAATTATTCACTTACTGACATAGTAATTTTCCAACTGCGTCTATGAGAGATGTAGGCCTGTAATTTTCCTTAATTGTCCTTTTTAAGTTTTAGAATTAGAATCATGAGGTCTTCCAATGAGTTGAGACAACGCCTTCTTTTTCTATTCTGTGGCAGAAGTTTAGTACTTCATGTAAAGTTTTAAATGTTTGAACGATTCACTGGGGGAAGCCATTTGTGCCCAGTGTTTTCTTTGGCAGAAGGTTTTAAATTATAGATTCAGTTTATTTTTAAAATGTTAGGATTATTTGGGTTTTTCTTTCTCCTTATATTCATTTAGATAAGACTTTTTAGAAGCATGTGTCTGTTTTACTTAAATTTTCAATTTAATTGGCATAAAGTTACTTATAACATCATCTTATTTTGTTTCAGTATCTATAAGATATGGCATGATGTACCTTTTTCATTAAGTTTATTGGTACATTTTAGTATACATAATGATCACATTCATCATAGGGAATTTGTACCTGTACATGATATATCTTAATTCCTCTTTTTTCCCATTCCCCTACCCTCCCTCCCTTCAACCTTTCTTCCCCTCCTTATATACAAAAGCTTTGTTTCCACTTTTTTCATTTATTTTTTCCTTTCCCTTCCTTTCCTCCTCCCCTCCCTAGTTCCCCTTCTCATGTGAGCATTTTCTTGCTAATTCATAATATCTAGTACATATTTTGGTCCTTATTTACACTTTCAGTTTCTCACACCAGAGAAACAATTTGATATTTACACATATGTGCTACATTTATTTCATTTAAGATTATGGTTTCAACCTGCATCCATTTACCTAAAAATGTCTCAAGTTTTTCTTTCTTTATGGGTGAGTCATACTCTATTGTATAAAAAAAAACCCCACATCTTCTTTATCCATTCATCTGTTGTTGGCATTTGAGCTGTTTCCAAGATTTAGCTATTACAAATTGTGCTGCTATAAACATGGGTGTGCATATATCGCTATGGTATGATGTTTTAAATTATTTCAGGAAGATACCAAAAAAGGGAAATAGCTGGGTTAAATGGAACCTCTAGTTTTAGTTTTTTGAGGATTCTCCACACTGATTTCCACAGTGATGGTGCCAGTTTACACTCCCACCAATAGTGGAAAAGTGTTCCTTTTCCCCCACAGACCTGCTAGCATTTGTTATTGGTTGATTTCTTGATAATAGCTGTTTTTTTTGGAGTGAGATGGAATCCCAGTGTTGTTTTACTTTGCATCTCTCGAATGACCAGTGATGTTGAACATTTTTTCATATATTTATTTATCATTTCTACTTTTTCGTCTGAGAAGTGTCTATTCATTTTAGATGCCCATTTTTTGATTGGGTCTTTAAATTTGGAGGGTCTAATTTTTTGGGTTCTTTATATATTCTAAATATTAGTCCTTTGTCTGAGGAATAGCTGGAAAAAATTTTTTTTCCACTCTGTGGATTGTCTCTTTACTGATGATTTCTTTTTTGTTTGTTTGTTTGTTTTTGGTACTGGGGATTGAAGTCGGGTCCTTGTACTTGCAAGGCAGGCGGCAGAACCATTGAGCTAAATCCCTGGCCCTCTACTGATGATTTCTTTTACTGTGCAAAAGCTTTTTAATAAGTCAAGAGCCCAGTTCTTGATTCTTTGTAATATTCTCCATGCAATGGGGGTTTTGTTCATAAAGTCTTTGGCTACACCTATGTCTTCAAGAGTTTTACATAGTTTCTCTTCCAGCAGATTGTTTCTGTTTTAATATTTATATCTTTGATCCATTTTGATTTTAGTTTAGTGCATGGTGAGAGACATGGGTTTACTTTTAGTCTTCAGCATGTGGGAATCTGGTTTTTCCATTTATTAAAGAGGCTGTCTTTCTTCCAGTGAAGGCATTTGGCCCCTTTGACACAGATAAGGTGGCTGAGTGTGTTTGGAGTTTTTGCTGCATCTTCTGATCTGTTCCATTGATCCTCAAGTCTGTTTTTTGTGTGTGTGTTTTTTGCCAGTATCATGCTGTTTTGTTTTGTTTTTTAATCACAGTAGCTTTGTAGTACCTTTTTTTTCTTTTTTTTGGTACTGAGAACTCAGGACCTTGCACTTGCCAGACAGGCGTGGCACCACTGAGCTATATCCCTGGCCCTTGTAGTACCTTTTTTAAAATATTTGCTTGATTAACCTCACCTAAAGTTTAACAGCTTGATTAGTATTTATAATTACCAATGTTTTGCTTTCTCAATTGTCGCTATTTTGTGTTTGTTTTCTATTTTATTATTTTTGCTCTCTTCTGTATTCTATCATTCCTTTTACTTTATTTACATTTATTTTGTTTTTCTTCTTCTAACTGTGGTTTGATCCTAGTAACTGTGATTGCAATGTTAGTGGTTGCCTACTGTGGAAAAAAATAGCAGATTAAAGAACCAGGGAAAAATACAAAACCCCTTAAAATGAAGCTTTTTGGTAAAGGCAATGAAGACCTCTTCTGCACCCCATTCTCTGACCTAAGGACACATTCTGCTGCTTTTTCCCCTCATGCTAACATGTATGGTATGACTGAGCTACAACTCCAGGCAAATGGAGTACTCTTCTTTTTTCCCTTTTTCTTCCTTTCTTTATTGTTTCCTTCCTTCCTTCCTTCCTTCCCCTCCTTTCTGTCTTTCTTCCTCTTTTTTTTTCATTCAGGATCTTGCTATGTTGCCCAGGCTAGCATCAAACTCTTGGGCTCAAGCAATCCTCCTGCCTCAGTCTCCTTAGTGGCTGAGACTATAGGCTCACGTCATCATCCTCAGCCCACGTTCTGCTTCTTGTATCCATTAGATGGTCATGATGACCTGGCCTCTGGGTGCTGAATTGTCCTCTCCCTATATAAAAGTGTTTGCATAGTTCAAACTTTCCAGAGTCATTTTCTCCCATTCATTTTCAGTTTCAGATCTCAGGGAACATCCTTTCATAACTGACTTTCAAAGCAGTGGCATTTGACACACCCCTGACTCCTAGGGGCTGATATAGTCCTTTCAGGGCTAGATTTTTATCTGCCTGTGGGGCATTCTGTGGTAGCATCCACACATGAGTAGTCTTAACTCCATTCCACTGCATTGTTATGTTGATAACCTTCCCTTGCATATTCACAGAATATCACACATATAAAATATGTTCAGTGGCTATTAACTCACAAAGAAGCAACATGTTAGGAGATGAACTCTCATTAATGATCTTGGGGAAATATGATGGGTCTCACAAATGTGGAGTGGTTGGAAGAGAAGAAAAGGACTGAGATGGGAAGGAAACAGTGAGCCTGGAGAGGTACTGAAAGTAGAGATGTAGAAGCACACTGTTGAGGAGCTGGTGAGGCACAGAGGGTTCTAGAAGCATTCCTGAACCTCACAGTCCTTGAGGAAACAGCTGGGAAGAGAACCAATTGTTCAAGAGGACACGATGACTGCCATTTCTTCCACCCCCTTCATTTGTTCAAGCCCTTGCTGTTTGATGTTGGCCCAGCAGTTTTGGGCCAACACCATGTCCTGTGGAAAGGAAGCTGCCCCTTGGGGGGAGGCTGATGACATCAAAGACCAGAGTTCAAGACTCAGGGATCCTAGCACAATGTCCTGAGTTCGATCCCAGGTACCAAAAAAAAAAAAGACTCAGGGATCCTTAGGTGCCCAGAAACTTGCAGAATCAATTATCAGGATCTCTAACAGGTTCTGGCAAGGGCTGGATGTTCTTTGTCCAGTCAAAGTCTGGATCATGCTGGTGAGTATAGTTCTGAATTATTTAATCATGCAATTGGAAATTTCAGACACTGTCATTATTGATATATAAATGCTATTTGATGATTTATTATTGATTCTTGGATTTAAAAAATTCTTTCCCTAGGATCTTGATCACATGCCAGATGTCTAATAAACAACTTCAGAATTCCAAAAGCTCATCCATCACACAGGTCAAGTGGCGCAAGATTGTGGTTGTGGGGTTAGTCACTGCAATCTGGGTGAGTATTCTTCTTTCTAGTTAGCTCTATCCACCCTCAAAACTTGTTACTTTTCCCTTGGGAAATTCTTCATGTTCCTGCTTGTAATCCCGAATAGAAGTGTTATAGTGGCACAAACTCTTAGAAAGAGAATGAGAAAAGAGAAACCTGGTTGCACAAGAAATAATACCAAAAATCAGCAAATTGAATCACATCATCTTAAAAAGCATTTGCACACCTAAGTAAACTACCAACAGAGTGAAGAGACAGCCTGTACAGTGGGAAAATTTTGCCAGCTGCTCTTGGGACAAAGGAGTAATATCTAGAATATATAAAGAACTCAAAAAAATTAAACCCCTCAAATTTAAAGATGCAATAGGGCATCTGAAATGAGTAGACACTTCTCAGATGAAGAGGTATACATGGTCAATAAATATATGAAGAAATATTCAACATTGCTGGCCATTTGAGAAATGCAAATAACAAGACTGATATGCCATCTCACTCCAGAAAGAAAGACCATCATCAAGAAATCAAATAATAGCAAATGCTGGAGAGGCTGCAGGGAAAAGGAATCCTTCATTGTTGGTGGAAATGTAAACTGGTACAAGTACTATGGCAATCAGTATGGAGAGTTCTCAAAAAACTAAAAGTAGAAATTCCATTTGACCCAGGTATTCTTCCTCTAGGGATCTTTCCAAAAGAGTAAAAGACAAAATATTACAGTGATAAAAGCATCTCACGCTTAAAGCAGGAGAATTCAGCAGCCTGTATGTCTACCAATAGATGAATGGATAAAGAAAATGTGGTATTTATACACAGTGGAGTAATGCACTGCCATAAAGAATGATAAATTTGTGTCATTTGTAAGAAAATGGGTGCATCTTGGGAACATAATGTTAAGTAAAGTAAATAAGACAGTTTTTTGGTTTTTTGGTACCGGGGCTCGAACTCAGTACCTTGCACTTGCCAGGCAGGCGCCAGAACCACTGAGCTAAATCCCTGGCCCAATAAGATATAGTTTTAATATCACATGGCTTCTCTTATATGAGAAACCCAATATTTTTAAAAAGTGCAAAATAAAAGACAGACAATACTACAGACCCTAAAACTGGACTAATTTTCTTCCCTGGGAGGAACTGCTGAGCATTTATTTTGTGACTTTGAGCCATGTGGAGACATTTCCCATATTTCGCTTACCTGACACTTGGAGATTTGCTGGGAGCTGGAGAGAGCAGGAATCAGAGCCTGCTCCATTCCAGACTCTCTCTTTAATCTGTGCTTTTATGCAGCTTTTCCCTTTGGGGTAGGGCAGTCAGTCTTCTTTTGACTCTGTCCTTTGTGCAGGGAAACCTGGGACTCCCAGGTGCCTAATTCCACTGCCTACTCCCTGAGGGCCTCTGGCTCTTCCTGTGTGTACACAAACTCCTTGTTCTGAATCTAGGGGAAAGGGGTCTCCTCTGGTTTTAGAGTCCAGAGAGAGGACTTGTAAAGGGTGGAGTGAGAGGCTAGAGGGTTGGAGCCAAGCCTAGATGCCCCTCTGGTGGTAGCAAGGATGTGTCCAGGTGGTGGGGCAAAAGCCAGTAAGGACTAGAAGGAGCTGTTTGTTCTCTGTGGGATTTAGCAAAACCCACAGACATGGTTTCAAACATGAGGTGGGGTCTGCAGATGTGTGTGGTATCTGCTGAGACTCCAGACTTCGGGTCAGAGGCAGCATAAGGCAGGCATGACCACCCAGCAAAAGACAACTAAGCTTGGTGTACTGAAATCTCTGTCCTAGAAGGAAAATGAAGTGTCACACACCACTGACAAGTTCCTTTTTCTCTACCCACAGGTCTTGTACTTCAGGGTTTCCTGGCCTGACAGCACCATCCCTCGGCCCCCAAGACTGCGTCTGGCACACAAATCCTCCAGCTTTCTCTCCAGGGCACTTGCCAACCTGACTCATCTTCTGTCCTGGCCTCTGACTCCAGGAGATAGAGGGGACATTTTGGCCTCCACCAGCCCCCAGACCTCCACCTACCACCTGAGGGGTCCTGCCCAGGCTAGCTACACCCTGGGAGGCTACCTGGAGGCTGTCCTTGTGGCCAGGGACCACTGGGGCAGACCCAAGACCCATGGTGGAGATCTGTTTCGGGCACAGCTGCTGGGTCCCTATGTGAGTGCAGGAGTCCCCGGGGATGTCCAGGATCTGGAGAATGGCACATACCTCTTATCCTTTCCCCTGCTTTGGGCTGGGAGGGCCCAGTTCCAAGTGAGGCTGATCCACTCCAGTGAGGCAGTTGGGGTTCTTCAGAGAATCTGGAGAGAAGAAGGGGCCACAGTTGATTTTATAGGCTATTTCCGGGGACCCACAGGATCCGAAGAAAATGTGACTTGCAACGTGAACCCTCTGTTGACTGGGGAGGAGGAAGCTATCTGTTACTACAAGGATGAAGATTCTGGTGAACTGTGGTTCTGTGCCAGGCCCCTTACCCTGCCCTGTGACTCACTGGTAGGACATTCAGCTGGACATTACTGGAATGTGACCACACCACATGAAGATGCCCTGTTGGCATGGTAAGAAACCCAGAATCTACACAATTGTCACTTGGCATTTATCTATCTATCTATCTATCTATCTATCTATCTATCTATCTATTTATTTATACTGGGGATTGAACTCCGGACCTTGTGCTTACAAGGCAGGCTGTGGAACCACTGTGCTAAATCCCCGGCCCTATTTATTTATTTTTATTTGCAGTACTGGGGATTGAATCCAAGACCTTCACACTGAACTACATCTCCAGCTCTTTTTTTTAAATTTGAATTTTGAGAGAGTCTTGCTGAGTTGACCAGGCTGGGCTGGAACTTGCAATCCTCCTGCCTCAGCCTTGGCATGCTTCACCATATCCAGTGGCTTTTCCTTTAAACTCCAGCAGGAGGAGTCTTACACATTAGAGGGCCACATATGTTACAAAGATACAAAAGTAGCCTTTTATAAACCATACAGTTACCTCTATTACATAGGATGGGCTGGGAGGGCTCAGAACCCAGCAAGATTATCATTCCAAACTACGATGCTCTCAGCAACGTTGCTCAGGTCCCAGGGAAACACTACTCCACATTTTCCCCATGTGTCCTAAAATCAGAAACCCTGACACTTGTATGATGTGACTCTACAGATGCATAGACATCCTTTTATATTGTGACAATGATTTGAGTGAGAGAAACTTTTAGGGAAGAGAAAGGATGAATTGATTAACTTGTCAGTCCTTACTCTCAGACTCTTAAATAAAGAAGACTCATTTCCCAGGAAAGAGAAGGAAAGAAACCTGGTATCATGATAGTCACCTACCTCAGCCCCTGACTGCTGGTCTCTCAGATTATTCTGACTGAACTCCTATGCTCAGAATTCATCTCTTCCTATGCATTAATCACTTTCTGAGCACCAAATATATATGTCAGGCATTTTGGTTTCATCTAAAATGGACCCAGAAGTCTCATGTGTTTGAAAGGTGATTGGATCATGAGAGTGCAGTACTCATCAATGATTCATCCAATGAGTGCAGTAGCTGCAGTAGGAGGTGGAGCCTGGTTGGAGGTGGGTGGGTGCGGTGTGACTTGGAAAGGTGAGTTCTCATCCTAGCTCCCTCCCCTCTTCTCTCTCTCTGCCTCCTGGCTGCCATGGGTTGAGCATCTTTTCCTCCACTACGCCCCTCTGCCATCCGTTTCCTCCCTTGGAGTTAGCTGACTGTGGGCTGAAACCATGAGGCAAAGTAAACCTCTTCTCCTTCAATTTGTGGGTGTTGGATATTGTGTTGCAGTGATGGGATAATGACTCAGACACTGGGGCTCTTGCTGAGTACTAGCTATACATAATAGCATCCCTGCTTTCTTCAAGTTTTCATGGAGCCACATGGCTTTTTAAAACATGCGGTGCAATGTTTTACACTGGTCCATAGAAAACAAATCATGGTTTAATGCAGAGCTGCTCATCGTGCCATGTGGAGGTAAAGCCCAGCGTCCCTGGAGCTAGATTGCTTGGGTCTGAAGCCTGGCTCCTCTGGTACTGTTTGTCAGTTGCTATTTATGTCATCTCTGATTACTTTTTTTTTTTTTTTTTTTTTTTGGTGCCGGGGATCGAACTCGGGTCCTTGCGCTTGCAAAGCAAGCGGTGGAACTGCTGAGCTAATCCCCGGCCCTTGATTACTTAAGTTTAAGTAATTTAACTTTTCTGCACTTCAGGGTTTTATTTTTCTTTTCTCGTTTGTAAAAGGGGATGATAACAGTATCCATGTTGTAGAGTTATGGTGGGAAACAAATGAGTTAGTGTATGTAAAGTGCTTAGAACAGAATGGCAAGTAGCGGGCTTTGTTAGCTTTTATGATTTTAGCAGAGTTGCCCCCGAACCCCGCCCTACGCTGTTCAGGACGCTGTCCGTGGTGCTGGAGGCCCTGCCGCTAGGAAAGGGCGGGGAAGCGGCTCAATTCCGCCGCAGCTAATAGGCAGTAAACAGGTATCCACACGGGTGGTGAAGGTGTCCTGGACATGAATTTGTGATCCCAAGGCCAGCTGTTTTCTTCACATCAACTGTAATCCAATTCTGAAGACCTCTGCAGCTCAGTAGGTGGCAAAGGGAAGGCCTGCCTCTGGCCTGCAAAAGAACCCACCTCTACCGCCTGGAATCCATCCTTAGTCCTCTGCCACATTGGTCACCTCAGAGTACCCACTGTCCAAGCCTGTGTGCTTTGGAGGGGGCGCTCTGGGTGGATAGCATCTCCCTATGGATCTCCTAAGCTTCCTTATGAAAAGAGGAAGGGATGGTAAACAATAAGCATAACAATAAGTAAATTAGATAGGTAGAATATTAAGAGATGTGTGACATAGAAAGCTTAAAAATATAAAGGAGGGGAGCCGGGGATTTAGCTCAGTGGTTCTGCCGCCTGCCTTGCAAGCACAAAGACCTGAGTTTGATTCCC